TTGTAACATGCAACTTTTAGAACTTGTAAATTCCATGAAACAGACCCCTGACCACTATTTTGAAAAAGAATTTGTAAAAAAATCAGACTCAAGCATAGGACAAAATTGTGAGCGTTCCGGGATCCCTAACTAATAATTTGACCACATCCCTGGATGCTTTTCTCGAAGTTAAAAGCAATAAGACAAGTTGTGCGTAGAGTTTCTCTATCTGTACACTCTGTCCGACGTCGCCCTCAAACGAAAGTAAGAAGGTTCGAGAACTACCCATTCTTTCATGTTCAAACCCGTTAAACAGGACGTCCTGCCAGCGCGATTGAAGTTTTCGAAAAATCCTTTTAGATCTCTTTATCAAGTTAACCCTTATCCGGGCAAGGGGAGTTCATTGGACTCTCTTACTTAAATTTTAGGTCTTATTTCGATTCATATTTGCTAGAGAAACATGTTCCTTTTCATCTGTGTCGTTTAGTTGATGCGAGACACTATGTTGCCATGTCCGAATTTTGGGGTAATTTTTTGCACGTGCAAAAATTCGTAAACACTTTCCTGACAGAAACGGCCAAGGGACTCATTACATTTTACATGTACGTTTCGCAACGGCTCCCTGCTCTTGCCGGCTCCCACTCACAACCATTTCGCTGCACCATCTAGCCACAACAAAATTAAGCTGGGAAGACCGCTCAGTTTTGGGCTATTCGGAAAAAAATCCTCTGTCGTCCCTCTGTATTGACTAATATCTCTACTCTGTGGTGAAACCTGCATGCAGTGCTTGATAGTGCACCAGATCGAGTAAGCCTCGCTACCGTACGTGGTTTTCTCGCTACTTCATGCAACTTAAGATAATCTTGGTAAGACGTATGCAATGGCGTATTTACGTTGGGAGGGGCGGTGGCCACCCCCCCCCCCCCCCCCCCCCGACTCTCGGCCCAAATACGCCACTGGATGCAAAATTATTGAGAGGTGTATCCGATTGTCACGTTGCTTTTCATTAGTTTTTCACCACCTCTGACACCCAACTCTTAGTATTTCCTTCATGTATCCTGTAGCGAAGAAGCTGGCAAAACAATATTTTCAAAATTGATTTCAAAATGAGTATGATTTGTAACTTGTTAATAAGAATCTTATTTTTGATACTGTTACCTTAGAAATTGCAAAGATCGTGAGATCTTGAATGTCAGGAAATTATTATAATAATAAGCATCCAAGACAATGAAGAGTTGAATGAAAATCTCAGAAACTCAAGTCAACACATGGTACGGTAAAATATACGACTTCTAATTGTCTCAGTAATATAATTTTAACGGAGTAATTTATTGATTTTTTACATGTGAATACTCTGGGAATTGTTCTTGTGTTGATGTGAGATGATTGCAAACGGAACAGCCAAATGAATACAGGTTGATAATTAGAAAGAAATGAATAGTCCATTAGACTCCCCTTGCCCGCTTACGTTACAAAATACCTTGCCGGGATAAGGGTTACAGGACGCACAGCCGCCGACCTTGCGGTCTGATTGCCCTCCAAAAGCGCCGAAGGAAAATGCAAATTCGTGAAAGATTGGTCCTTGTGGAGGAATAGGAGGCTCGATTCAGGACGTCTGACCTCCTCGCGAGTTCACAGCTCCTTAATTACGAGAGATAGAACCCAGATGGATTCTATTCCTAGATAGTAAGTCAACCCCAAACCTTCAAGAAGAGGATGCTTGAAGCTTCCTCTCGGTTCTCACCTATACCGCCTAGTTGATGAACCTAACCCACCATACTGTGCTTTGTGAGAAGCGTACCTTTTAAAGAAATCTCAGGTCAGAGTCTGCATCCTTGCAATTACATTCTTCGAGACAGTTCTCCAGAAGCGTTTATGCCCATGGATCTAAAGTGCCGATTTCACACGAATTTTTCCTTGAACTCACTCACGAGACAGGCAAAGAGATGCAAGAAGATCGCACTCGTGAGTGACGTAGAGAGTGGATCCATTATTTGGCGGAAGACAGCAAGCTTCCGTACGAGAAGTCTGGCATGCACAAAATAGCTTCAATGGCGTCGCAATCGTGTAGCCATGATATCCAAAATGATCCTTTCGCTGTTGCAATCAATGGGCAAACATTAAAAAAAGGAGACGTGTCAAATTCCTATTAACCCTTCAAGCGTATCACCCTGCAGATATAGCAGAAAAAAAGAAGCGTTTCAGAATGACATTCCTTTGTCTCCTCTCTCTTCGAAGTAAACGAAAATTCCTATCCAAGAAGAATCTCACGCTGTTCCTTTGCAACGAGTACAAAATTGCTCCAATCGATATATCGTTCCTTGTACGTGATTTTCCCCCGCCCGCTCAATCAAGGGATGGCAAACAAAGAGACAGTGGATCCTTTCTGAAGGGGGAAACGATTTTCTTTTTTGAGGACATAATGGAGACAAAAATGATACGCGACATGGCTCTTTCCTTCTAGTCGATCGATTTTTGGGCTTTAGACACACGTCTTTTTCCTGCAGTCCCACTTTCCCAGAGATGGGCAGAGATGAGAGATTGATGACCCAATGATATCCACAGGTCCGGTGCCGAGGAGCATAACGTTAAGTGGTACTAGTACTTGAATGCCAGGGCTCTCTCTGTGCTCCCCGCCTGAGAATGGCACAATTCATCTTGGATATTACGTGTTCATCATGATGGAAGAGCCTCTAGAACGGCCTCCCAACGACACTTCTATGATAGCATTGCCTTTTCCTCGTATGATCCCATATATTCACCAGATATGGGGGCTCGTGTCATTCTCATATGCTCTCAGAATATATGTTCACCATGATGAAACATGCGAAGGATGCATACACGCGTGTATACTTGAAAACAGAGTGGTGTTCTGGTAATCAAGGAAATGAATGAAGGCGGGGAGAAATAGGCACGCAATAGTCCTTTTGTTTCTCCCTTCTCTCCTTTTCGAGCACGGCACCTGGGGAACGGAAGCGATGTCACTGACATCCTGAATAATAGTTGCCGCAAATTACTGCAGAAACTTCGGAAAGAGAGGGATCTTTGGTGTCTCGAGGGAATAGTGTCAGCGTGAAGCCTTTAAGGGTCTGGCAGAGCTGAGGGATTTTTCCCTCTCCGCTCTTATTCAGATGGCTCTCCATCTCGGGAAACTGGATGAACTGCGTTATTCGCATATCCCTCTTTCTCGCTCTCTCTCTCTCTCTCTCTCTCCGCTGGTGATGAAGGGTAGACGGAGGACAGTCGGTCATGGGGGGCCTTTGGGGAATTCGGATGCATATTTCCTTGTCCGCATTGCAAATGGAGAGACCAGACTTAGAATATGCAAATTCCTTACCCGAGAATCTTCCCTCTCTATCTCCCTCCCTCTCCGTTTCATTCCCTGCCTCCATGCTTTGTTATGTGCAGCACGGCCTATTTTTGGCTGCTCCTTATAAAAAAAAAAGAATGATTTTCTTGGCAGATAATTAACAAGGCAGAAGCCTAGATGCTAGAAGTGAGCACGGAGAGCAGGTCTCCCGTCGCGAGAAAAATGGATATCCATCCAGGTTTCATATCGTGAGGCAATGGCCGGCCAGGTGAAAATGAATAATACGGCCAGTAAAATATGACGGGGGAAGGGAGTTGACGCGCGGATGACAGTCTTATTTTCTTTAGCTTGATTTATTCCCTTATTGGGAAAGGAATATTCCCATGGGAATCTTGCAGCTAAGGGATCTCTTCTGCTTCTACTTCCATTTTCTTCCCCCCCCCCCCGCGCTCGTTTCCTCTGTTCTTCCTTGTTTATGACGTGTATCACGGGTGCACAGAAGTGCGCTAGGTTTGTTCCCTATCCATGGACAATGAATACTATTCTGGGCGCAGGTTACTCGATATTACGTACTCTGATCTGCTAATTTGTCTGCTAAACTGTGAGATATGAACAGCATTGCTGCACTTTTACGAGCGTCGTGTACTGAGAATAATTTGTGACTGGGAGGTCATCGATTTAAACCACTGTCATAATTCTTAGAAACGAGACATGCGGGCGTCCACGACAAAAGGGGGAGAGGAAGAATTATTCTCGTAATACCAGATATCGCTCGAGAAACCTTAGGAAAAAAGCACACCTCTGCGCCAGGACTACGAGCTACCTCAAAAGGAAACGAACCATTTGTAATCATTCCGATAAAAATTACTGCATTCCAGCCCCGCGAAGAGGAGAAAAGTGACCTAGTTATAGCTATACTCATATTTGTTCAGAAGTTTAGCATAACTACTTCTTTTTACTTTGCTACAAATAGCTAATGTCTTCTTTTCGTGTTCAGCTTCTGTTTCATATGCAATTAGCCGTGAGCACTATCAAATGAAAATACCATCCATGCAAAAGAATTGTTCATTCTGAAGAGATTTGTGAAAAAAAGGTACTGTATCGTCAAAGTAACATCATCATGCTGCACTTTTGAGCGCTATTACAGCTTTATTCCGCCTTCCACCACCTTTTACTTCAATTTTTTTGTCCAGATTCTTGCGGAAGGCACGAGTTTACTGAAGGATTTGTGTCTCATCCAGATAATTTGCACTATTAGGGGAGGGGTATGCGGTTTTATTTTTTAATTTTTTAAATACAGGCTGATTTAAGCCACTACCCTTCGAGTTCAACGCCAGGGACCATCTGCGGCAGGGAATGGAGATCGTGGCAAGCAGGGAACGCCCCACGGGAGCCATGGTTATATGTGGAAGTGGTTCAGGGTTCGGTGGGGTGGGAAGGAAGAACATTCGCCCTGTGGTGATGCCCCGAGTTGGATTGGGGGGGAAACGAAAGATGTAGTAGGCTTCTCTTTTTGCTGAGATATCCTTTCCTAATCTGGCTGATTCATCTTGTGTTTGCGCACACTGCCCATATGTAACCATTCGTGTATTTGGCTACTCACTGGCTGGGGACATAAGGTTTGGTCGTCGTGGCCCTAGGGACAGGGAATGAAGATTGGGGGAGAAGCGTACTGAAGGGAGATGCGCAGGTGCCAGCGTGGCACATTACGGGAGGGAGTCCTAGGGACCAAGAGGAGGAGGATGAAAACCTCGCTCCCTGCCCTCCCTCCCATCAGTTGTGTGAGTGTGGAATGCATGACGGTTATGGGGCGTCCGTCTTCCCCTGTCTCCTCGTCCTTCTGGCCATATCTTCAATAGGTAAGGCCCAACCCCTCCAACTCACTTCCCATTTCGCAATTGTTTTTGGCTGCTATTTTTCCATCTTTCCTTCCGCCATCGATTCTTATCAGATGCAAATCGTTCCGCAACGAAATAGGAAACTTTCGCAATAGGAAACTTCCTGTCTTAGGTATAAAGTATTTTTTCATGTCCCGTCTTAACACCGATCAAAAAGTTTATATTCTGCCCTACTTCATTCTTCTGTTTAAGTATCTAAGTAAAATTGAACCTGTGATGAAGCGTTCAGGCAGAAGAAAGGAGGAAATCTCGTTAAGGTGGTTATTTTGTTGGCAAAATATCCAAAGAGACCGGTGATTGGATCTATCAGTTCCGCATGATGGAATCTTTAATCTTGCACAAGTGTCATCTAGAAGACGCCCTTTCCACTTGAATTTGAAGGCCCTACTTCTAGCAAATTATGAGCCTTGCGTGCACCGGGCTAAATTCAGCGACTCCTCTCCATTAATCACTGATGTCCCCGAGTCGAGTTTCCAAATGGAGATCTACCGGGAAAAGTCATTAGAATTCGGGTCGTGTGATAAAGACAAAAATCTGCGACGGTCGTGAAAACTTCGAACTCTGAAAGCTTCCGAACATAGCCTTGCTCCTCACTCTCTCATCTCCGGAGGAATAGAGAACAGAGCGAAGAACACTGGTAAAGAGTTCCCTCCGTTGAAGCCATGGCAAAACAGTCACAGCCGCAAAAGACAACTCACACGTTCATCTTAGTTAATTTGTTATGTAGAATCTCATGCATGCATTCAATCAAAACACTGCCTGGCAGCCTATATCAAATCGGAGATGATGATCAAGGCAGTTGGGTGGAGCTTCTCAATGCCCAAATTTTAGGTATAACTCAAAAGGTCTCCTGTCGAGATGAAAGAACGTCTGGCGAACCGTCTAAAAATGTGCCGCATGTGCCTCCCAGTACAGATGACTCCATCATGGATCACGTTCACGTTTCCTGGAGATATGGAGGGGGGACGATATGAAGATTAATATCGGGTGTGGAGTCCTGGCTTCAGCAGACCTCTGACCTCCTAGAGTCGGATGTCATGTCGCTTCTCTCTTCCCTCTCTCCCTCCATCCCTGCTTCGTATCGGGGTTATGAAAGCCCGCAGTGGGTGTCAGAAATAGCGGAATCCTCCGCGTGTATAAACATCCCTTCCAACCAGGCACCTTCGCTCTCTTCTTCACCTCTGTAAGGCAAGATCGCGTGTTCTATTGCTCCATACTCGGTGGAGGCTTATCAATCTACAGGTACGCCCATCGGAAAAGGTGATTGATCGATAGGGCATCGAAGTTTATGGCCCTTCTCCTTGACACTTGGGCACGATGAAGACCACGGTACAAGCGACTTCCTAGGATCATATAATCCATTCTCTTTGTCGTCCCTCTTGTGGATTGACGCACGGAACGCGAGCGCTCTCGTTTGTTGTCTCGTCGGCCGATGACGGGTCATAAAAAGTTCATCACAGTATATGGATTATTCCGCGTAAGCATGAATTATTTCGGTCGCCTTCGCCTACTGGTTCACGTGTACTTCCTTCTAAGTTTCATGCAAAATGGTTTTAGCTTCATTGGATAAATAATTAAATAAAAGCGAAATAAAGCTACTTCCGGCTGCCATACCCGAAGTCTGTCAGGTAATACACGTATGGAAGAATACATTTGCCAGCAAAGCAAAGGTGGCAGGCGTCTTACTTTAAAATGTAGATCTGTGGATCTCTCAAACTGCAGCTATATTTTTCTCGAAAAGTGAAGTTCGTATATTAGCTCCTCTAACGCGCATAGTTTCAATTAGTTATCATGGACTTTGCAGCACCATGCATTATCTTGGCAAAAAGGCCTATATGAAGCAATTCCATGGAATTGACCCTCGTATTTTGGCTATTTTATCCGATATCGTCAAATCAGCAGGGTAATAAATTGCGGGCGCCTCCCACTTCCTCGCCAATATCGAGAAATTAACAGGTGCCCTTTTGTGCGTTTGGATAACGAATCGCGAGGAGAGAAATATTGCCTGTCCCTTTGAAAGACCTTCCTTTGGTACTTCTTCCCTTTTGTTCGAGTCCGGGGTCTGTTTCCGGGCACTTCCCATGGTCCGCTGCCCATTCGGGACACCTTCCTGAAAGAGACAAAAATAAGACGAAGAATTGCTGAGGATTGGTTAATCGCTTGGTTTGGGAATGGAAACAGAAGAGAGAGACGGGACCCACCATCTGTATGGCTTGCACAAGTACGGAGATGAACGACGTCGTATCCGCAGCGGATGGACCAAGACTGATGATAATGATCGTAGACGGGGAAAGTAGAGAGAAAGAGAGGAGCAGAGCAAGGTAAATAATTAATATGTGGGACAAGCACGGATGACGATCGCGAGCATAAATTTAGGCTGCAAAGCCCCTGCCAAACGACGCCTTCAGAGGCAGACGCTCTTTCATCCATCTCACTTCATGAAATGCAAAATTTCCCCAGGGTGTATCGTTCCCACTTTCCTCATGCGTCAAAGTGCCTCCTTTTTCTTTCCTTCGAGTCACAGACGAGGCCATGATAGGGTGACAAAATGAGGCTCCCATCCCCTTCCCTTTCATCCGCTATGAGTTTGGGGTCTGCTTCCACCCGATAAGCACAGCTTCCCATTGTCTTATGACGTATGGCTTCCCGAAAACATGGCATTCTATATTGAGTAGTCATCATAGCAATCCAGAGCTCCGTGTAATGTGTCTCAGCCCTCCCGTCCTTGGACCAACATGGTTGCCTTGCAACCATTCCGAGAAAGGCGCAAATCTTCTTAGATCATATAACCCTATTTTCCGGAAACGAGCTCTGTACGGTTATCAATTCCCCCATGTTCATTCTAGAGCTCTTGATAAAGTACGAATTTAGAATGGAGAAGAGAGAAGAAAGCGACTTTCGCCGAAAGATGGATGAACCAGACTCCCTCACCCATTTAGTAGATTACCATACTCCCTGCCATTTCCTGAGCTAGGGGATTGACGACGGACCCATGAGTGTACGGTGCCCAAACAAGGACAATACATTTTCTCGGTTCGTTCCTTGCTACTATTCTAAGTCTTTCTCATTCTAATCGATGTCCCTCCTGCGTCATCACAATTACTGGGTACCATTCAACGGCATCGGTTCGGTTTGCTGGCGGGGGGAGAGAAGGGAGGTCGATCAACCAGCGGGGGTTGTCGTACCCCTACCAAAATAAATCAAGGTACAGACTGAGTCACTTATACAAAAGCGATGTCCGCTTATCGGTTACTGGTATCGGCACCGCTAATGGCATTCGGGTGCATATTATGGCCCAAACGCTGAAACATCCTTTATTTAGTAAACGATCCTTCAAGAATCCATGGACTGCTATGGAGGAAAAGAGCTCTTTAGCTTAAACCTTTACCTCGCCTAAAAGGGGTTTCAACATTCGTGCCTAAGTTTTTGAACCGCTATGGCCATACATCTACATCACATTCGAAAACGAAAAGCGATTCGAGCTGGTCCAATTAATTACCTCTTCACATTTAGCTGAAATCCATTTTTCAGACTCTGCTGGTGGGTTCAGTCCCCTTTCGACTATCCCACCTAGAGCCTCAACGCGATCTTGTGCTTTAGTGCCTCGAAGCTTTCTGGCTGTGGAGGTCGGGGGCTACGCAATGACGTCAATCAAGAAGGGGGGGAAAAAATCTTACTTTACGAAGTTTGCTGCACGCCTTGGCCAAGAGAAAGGGAGAGGTCTGGACTCGTTCTGCCGAGACGGGCCTAAATTCAATTCAGGCTCACTTGCCTGTCGATCGTTGCCGTTGCTTCGTGGGTCCGTTGGTCCCTCCTTCGTGGGGACATTCCCTCCCCCTCAAATGATTTCCTATCGACCCGCTGAGGGCTTTAGAGGTCGCATTGCCTGATCCGATTACACGGACCGCTTGAAGCGTCTGCAATGAATTCCTAAGAGCTGAAATCGGATGCGTCCAGCATGATCTCCACGCTCTCCCCACGAGAACAATGAAATCCGGGAGAGAATTCACGAAGACCTCGCCCCTCCCCTCTTTTATTTGCCCCTTTTCCCACTCGAATGGGCGCAGGGTTGAATCTCCGCGTGCTTGCATGCAGCTGACTACGACCTGAAAGTGGAAGAAGCCAAGCTGGAACAGATGAGTTAGCCCGTTTCCATCGTCAACTTTCGTCTATCTATGGCGTGGAATACGAATAACATCTTGAGCCGCGAGGCATGGCGCTGAATTTTGAATCTTTCGTCGTTCCGTCTCTTTCTTCTCCGAAGGAAACGTGAGAGCACGGGAAGCAAATAATGGGAGGCATCAGCCAGGGATTCCTTTCTTCTCTCTCTTGCCTTTCCCATCTCCCTGCCTCAATGTCGAAGGAAAGGGAGGGCGGGATGAGTGGGGGACCGTGTCTATATGACAGGGTCCGAACGAAATCTAGGCCTGAACTCCTCACTTTCTCCCTTTCTTTTCTCTTTTTTTTTTTTCAAAAAAGGCATCTGGCCCTGACGTCAGTTCTCGGGTGGCGACGACCCTTTCTCCTTCTGAAATGCATTCAATCGAGCTCATCCTCATCTCGGGCAAAGTTCCACGAATTTTTTCAAAGCCTCGTATCTATGCCTCTCTACGAGCCTCCTTTACGAACCGCGCTCCACCCAGCCTCTCCGCTTTCAAGGTCTCGGCCAGACCCTGACATCCGCACACATTTCTGCGACCATCCATCCCAACACAATGGGGTGCGGTCCGAGCAGGCGGAGGAGGGTCTTCTAAGTGCATTAAACTCGGAACTCGAATATTTTCGACTCGTTCTTAGCAAATGCGCAATAGAAAGTCAACGATGGCGGGGGTTCTGCAGTATGCGTTTGTTCCCAACTATGGAGATGGCGACGATACAGGAAAAAAAACCTCAAAATTTTGCAAAAATAGAGAACTTGCTTGAAATGAGTTGAACCTTTCGAAAAATTTGCTTCGTTATAA